CAATGCTCCACCGTGCCATGTGTGATTGTACTTCAATGCTCCACCGTGCCATGTGTGATTGTACTACAATGCTCCACCGTGCCATGTGTGATTGTACTACAATGCTCCACCGTGCCATGTGTGATTGTACTACAATGCTCCACCGTGCCATGTGCACTGCACATAATAATAATATTGAAAATAAAAAATACCGTGAACTGATTGACCTGGAGTGTCTCATGACCCACACAAATATTACGACAAACAAACATCACAATGGATCAAAATGCGAGTACAGAGAAAGTCTTTAAGAGGCATGGTTAGCTTCGACATCCGATGTTTTAAATAATCAGTGGTAAATTATTAAACTCTCTAGTGTATTGATACATATTAAAAAATTAATTATTAAATTTGACCGCAAATGGTTGCAAAAGTAACCCGATGAAGAGAACACTCGCTCTGCCTTCACACTGGTCGGAGGAATAGAGCTTGGGCTATCATACGCAATTTTTATATATTTTCCTCTTGAACCGCCATTCTCAAATAAAGCTATTTCTTTTTTTTACCAATATTTCAAAGTCTCAATCCGTTGGTCTGGAAGTGTCTTTTGTATTTCAATTTTAAATTGTCTCTTAAGTGGCAGTGTGTCTTTAAGTTCATCATGCTCAGATCCAAGTTATTTAATTTCATGGTTCGTAGATAGTATCATGAGGAATCCGCTATCTGACCAAGCTTTGAAATATCCACGATATGTTTTCTTCACATCTGGTCGCAATCTGGCCTTAGAAATACACCCAAGTAGTCACTGGAATGTGCAGACTTGAAATGAGAGTGAAAGCCTAAAGTTGTACCTCTAAATGTATTGAGTGTCTTGTTACATCGAATACATTGAGCTTAGGGTGACCAAATCATGAAGTTGAAAAAAACTGACACTTTCACGGACGTTTTTTTTCTCCAGTTTTTTTGTTTTGGGGGGGGGGGGGGGAACCTCATCCTGTAGCAGCACCTCTGCCTCCCCTACACCTATCTCAGCTATCTCCTCTGTCTCAAGCACCGTGTTGAACTCTATGAAACCGATGGTAAAGGGATAAACTTTAAAACAAAACTCCTTTATATATGTGCATGTGATTGTTGTAAAGGGATATGCCTGGAATAAGAAAAGAAATACTATATGGAATATGTGACAGTTAAGGTAATTATATTGTCTGTTATAGTAAAATAATACAAAAAGATAATTCATTAAAGTCACAGGGATATATCATCAACTGGTCTCTCGGATCTTCTCTCTCTCTCTCTCTCTCTCTCTCTCTCTCTCTCTTTCTCTGGTAAGGGACTCACCTGGCCCGTGCCACAGGAGGGCGGCTCCTCTGGCAAGGGTCTGGTGAGGGACTCACCTGGCCCGTGCCACAGGAGGGCGGCTCCTCTGGCACGGGTCTGGTGAGGGACTCACCTGGCCCGTGCCACAGGAGGGCGGCTCCTCTGGCAAGGGTCTGGTGAGGGACTCACCTGGCCCGTGTGACAGGAGGGCGGCTCCTATGGAACTCTGGCAAGACGTATTGGCCGGTTTAGGCTTTCGTGAGGGCCTCGTACCGGGATCACCATAAATTTTTTTTCCTGTTCACGGGTAAACTACGTCTCTCTCAAGATTGAGGACCTTCTCCATGAAGGACGGTCTCTTTAATCTGTTTTTATTTACTCATTCGTTCTGCAGTTGGAAACAGGGTTCTTGCCTGTTTATTCGTCGGTAACGTTTATCCGTCGTCAGGACTGTCTTTTCCCGCCTGATTTCGAGTGGTTCGACGTCTGCCAGGGCTTCCACCGCTGCCTAGGGTGTCATCCGTATCGCCCCGCATACAAACCTGAAAGCTCAGTTTTGAATGCGGTCCAGGTCCTCTAGATCCGTGCGACTCGCAAAGGTCTGAACGGGTAGGCTGTAGTCCATTGCCCCTCTCAAGCTACTAAGGTAAAAGGACCTTAGCAGTCTTGCGTTAGCGCCCCAATCGGTGCATACAAGCTTCTTCACCAGGCCTAATTTTTGAGAAGTCTTCACGCATTGTTCGTGTACATTGGTTATGGATTAGGAGTTTCTGGTCCAACTTCACTCCCAAATTTACTGGTGTCCGATCCCATTGCAACTCTTTACCGTAGATGGTTAGTTTCGTTTCTACCGTAAGTGCGTTCCTTCTATTCGTGAACTTTGAGTAGACCGTCTTGTCCGTGTTGACGACCATTTTCCACCGCCTCGTGTAGGCTTCTATTCTGTCCAGGTGGTTTTGCAGCCGGTTCTGCAATGTTTTGACATCCTTTCCCGAGCTCCAAATTACTAAATCGTCCCCGAACATCGCGTTCTCGGATTCTAATTCCTCTTGCAAGTCGTACACGTATGTTAGAAACAGGGTGCAGCTGAGGACGGACCCATACGGGAATCCGTCTTCTAAAATAGCTGATCTGATATGCTATCCGCAAACCGTGTGGAAATGGTTGTGTCTCTTGGGAAGTTTTCCACCCATGCAGACATGTTTCCAGAGATTTCCCGTTTCTGGAATGTATACATTAGGTCTGTACACCATACTCCGTCGTAGGCTTGCTTGAGGGCAAAGAAAACTGCTACCATGTGATTTTTCTTTTGGAGCTCGTTTGTCATCGATTGGACAAGACGGATTACCTGGTCCATGGGTTGGTGGCCATTTCGGAACCCACCTTGCATCGGTGGTAAGCACTTATTCTTCTCTAAAAACCAGTAGAGTCGTCCATTTACCATTCGTTCTGCTATCTTCCCCACACAAGTTGTTAGCAATGTTGGACGATAACTGCTTGGTAAATGGCCTGGTTTGCCATCTTTTGGTATTGGGATAACTATGTCTTTTTTCCACTTATTCAGCAAGATGCCTGTAGTCCAGGTCCGGTTGATGAGAGCCAGCAAAATCTCTCTCCCCTGTTTACCCAAGTGAGTCACCATCTCGTTGTGAACCTTATCGGGACCTGGTACTTTTACATTCTTACACTTGCCTTGTGCGTTGCGTAATTCTTCCATTTTGAAGAGGGATGTGAAAAGCTCTTGGTGGGGCCCAATTCGTTGGGTACGAGCTCCCCTTTTCCTGAGACGTTGGATGTTGTGGTGTTCGTCTGTCTCTCTGGCCTTCTTGTTCACTTCAGCGTAGTACTAATTGAGCGCAGTTGCTCTTTCCGCGTCGATCGCCTCGACGCCTTTCCGGTCTGAATGGATTGTGGGTTCTTCGCCTTCTCCACGCAAGATAGATTTCCGAGTAGATTCCACTCTTTTCGGCCTTCCTGGAGATCGAGCTTTTCACATGCAGTTACCCATTTCTATTTTTTTGCGTTTTGTATAAAGAACAATTGATGAAAAAACTCTGAGGATTTCATTGGGGATTCCCATTGTTCTCATTGACATACGAATAAACCAAGACATATATTGCAAAAAATCAACTTATTGATATAACATTTATATTGCAACATTTAATTCACAGCTGCAGAGGCGTGTATACGGGGAAATAAGGAACTGGATTTGTTTTTAAAATCCCCTTTTTTTTAATCACCCCAAATAGTACAGGCAACCGGTGGTCCTAGAGGTCAAATTGGGTCAAAAGGTGCAAATGCATAATTTTGTACAAGACCTCTGCTCCCAGACAACCGCCAAGCTCAATCTGGTGAAAACATTGGCTTGCACAAGTTGGAGCGAAGGAGCAAGAACACTAAGAGCTCTATTTCTAGGCAGTGTAAGGTCGGTGATGGATTAGAGCATGCCGTTCGAGTCCATTGCTAGTAAAACGCATTGGAAAAGTTGGACCGAATCCAGAATCAGGCTTTAAGATTCATCTGTGGCACAATCAGAACCACACCCACAGCTGCCGTAGAAGTCTTGGCAATGTTGAGCCGGTTGAGTGAATACGAGGGCACGTCAACGTCAGTGGCCAGGAAAAAGCGGACTCCCTGGCGGAAACCGGGGCTGCCCAGCCTGAACCAGAAGTACAAATAACGTACTTGGGAATTAAGAACTAGCTGGCAGACAATTTCAGAACGAAATGGTACAGGCCATGGGAAGACAACACGACGGCCAGAGGCGTCTTCGCTAAGTTGCCTACTCCTAGCAGACAAGACCCATGACGGGAGGGGGGGGGGTTAGACCGTAGACAGCTGAGTTAATGACGCAGATACTCACTGAGCACTGCCCTATCGGCACATACTTCTGAAAGCTAGATAACAACAGGGACCATACCTGTCGGCATTGCAGCATGGTCCCAGAGACACTAGAGCACCTGTTGACGAAATGTCCCTTGCTAGATGTTCCAGGGGAAGCCTGGGCGGAGGAGAGTCCTACGTGAGGAGAATGTTACATGGCTCAGCTCAGCAGATGGAGCTGGTAGACAGTGTACTAGCCGGGGTCATAAGATAGTAATCGCAGACCTTCACCAGAATATTTGTGTTAGTCAGTAAGACATTAAATTTGAATATAAATATAAATCTAACCGGGGGGGGGGGGGTATCAATCTTGCAATGTAATTTTTTTGTGACAAGAAACCTGGTTAATGAACATATTTTAATGTATTTAATTTGTTGTTATTTTAGTTTGTGGGTGGTGTGGTGATGAATTGTTACTGAATTGATTTTCACCACTTTGTGCTTACTAGAGTGAATTCAGTGTATAGCCATGGGGTATATCATTTATTAAACTGAGTCAATCCCAAGCTTGTGGATTGGAGTTAGATCTCCAGCAAAAGCCAGGCAAGCAAAAAAAAGCAACAACCAACCCCGATGGATAGGACTCGTTAAGCTTGGGGAAAGTAATCGTTAAGCTTGGATGGCGACTCATCTAAGCGAACTCATCTCTGCACACAGAGCACGGTGAAACCCACACACACACACACAGAAAAACACACTCAAACATAAACACACAAAAACAACACAACACTTACACAAAACACATACACTGTATCCGTTGCTAACTGGTCCCTTTCCAGTCGTCTTTCTTACCATTGAGTCAAAGAAGCAAGGACGAGTAGGCTGACGAGTTGAGCAACTCTCCCCAACTTTAAACAAAATGCAGCTCACGTCAAGGCCACTACTCAAGTCGAAAATTGCCTTGATCATCCACGGGAGTGAGGGACGAACAATAAATATAATAATAATGTAGTACAGTCGAACCCACTTTTCTCGACCTCGGTCAACTCGCCAACACTACTATGTCGACGTTTTGGAAGCGGAACCACCAATTTCTCTATGTGTCTAGCATTTTCTCCTCGTTTATGTCTATTCTTTAATGTAGCCGAAACCTGATCTCTCGAGCACAAAGGCGGCAAAATTCGTCACTTAAGGGGAGGTGCGGGTGAGAAATTGACGAAAATGGCAAATTTTGAATAATTTTTTATTATTTGTTATTTGGTTTTACTACAATCATTAAGTGTTGCCCACACGAAAAGGGAATGGAGTATAAAAGGAAGTTATAAGATACATAGAAGAGTTTCATTTGCATGAAGATCAGTCGCGTAGTCAACAATTTAAATGTGTCAAAGTAGCAAAACGCTGCCTGTTGATGCGACAATGAAGCGTGTTGTACCCGGAGTCATGAAACCAAGATCAACAATGTCTTGTACACTGGGAACATGAAACCGAGACCAACAACTTCTTGTACCCGGGGTCATGAAACCGAGACCATCAATGTCTTGCGGAAAAAAAGATAAAAGGGAAAGGGGGGGGGGGGGGTATGCGAAATTACAGGATATTTTTTTGAGACTAAATTTCAATAATCATACATTAATGAAGTAGGTTAAACAAATAAAAAACTCTACCGTAAATAAAAAAATGATAAAACATTATTTACTTGTCACTTGTGAAAAACCAATAGTGATGTATTTGTATTTGGGCTATCTAGGTATCGGGAAACTAAATTTCTACTATCATCTCTTTTGCTGCTCTCAGATTAAACGTAGACTGATGAAATACTAAATTTATGTTTGCGCCAAATTGCGTCCCACCATTTTGAAATGTTCAAACCTATTTTAGCAAGGAGGCTGTGCCAAGGATGGCCCCTCCGTCCGCATTCACTCCATTGATTCCTGCACTCCATCAATCACTGTGGCAGTGCCGGTACCATTAGTATTATTCTTTTCTGAGCACCTTCATAAACATAATGTTCAGATGCCTGGCTGGCTGGATTGATTGAAGGATCTAATAGATAGATGACTCTATTGTGATTTTGATATTTTCGGTTGTATTGTTTGTTTTTGTTTTACCCGCTCCTTGACATGAACTAGGAAGTGTCTATGTTTTCCTATACCACCACTAAATGAGAAGCAGACTTGTTTCCGGCCTTGACACCAGCTCTCCACCTTTCAGCCAACGTTCGGCCTGTGCATACTCCAATCAAAACTTAAAGCACAACAGTCTTGAATTGATCACCTTGTTCTAAGGCAGCGATTCTCAAACGTTTTTCTTTTTTTTGGTTCCGCGTCGCCTTGAAAACATGGGCGGCGTTGTGGTGAAGACATAACCAGGATTATTGCTAGCAATTGAGAAACTGGGTGTTCAAGGGGGCGGGCTAGGACTGCTATTGACTTATTACAAATCTTATTAAAACTGTGAACTCAGTGTTTATATTTCTTTTCAGAACTAATGAATTTTTATTTCACAAGAAACTGGTTTGGATTTAAATTTTTTATTTTTTTTATTTTTTTAAATTCAATTTGTTTGGGTCAACTGGTTTTTAAATTGGAAAAGAATAAAAGATTTACGTTTTAAAATATGGTTTGTAACGATACAAAGAAGAATTGAAAGGTAAAAATATCTACAGTGTACGGACTCTCGTTAAAAAAAAAATCGAGTAAGTATTCAATCAAAATGCCTTATTGAGAATTCACTTCATTTGTTGAGGTCAGGTCAAATTTTAAAAACAGTAAAGCAAGTCAGTTGTGTTATTCGTCTCTCATTCAGACCTACATCACCGAAAACATTTAATTTTTCTACGTATTAATAAAGAGAAAATGATGGCATGATAAATAAATACAATTAAGTTGTATAAAGTATACAACTATTTGGTTGGACAGACAAAAAAAAAATCTTTTTTGATTTTTATTTTAATTAACAATCTTTCAAGATTTAAAAAAAATTAATTTAACTTACAGGTGATTTAAAGCACTTTGTAAAATAATCTGTATTGAAACCTGTAAGTTTAAACGATTATTTTACTACAGAGTCCACATAATCACTTACATGTATATTCTGTTCAAATTCTACATCGTCACAAACCTTATATTATTATGTACTGTAAGGTACGGGGTATTATACTTCTTAAAAAGTATCGCTTCATCATGGTATATAAACGTCGTACGGCCCATTTCGACAAATGCATCTCGGGCAACCATTGGGGCCCGTGCTCCAGATGGTCTGATATTGACATTGACAATTAACCGTCTGACATACTATGCACTGACAAATGGGGCAGCCATTGACGTCAGCAGCCTGACCGTATGGACAGTTTAAGTTCGGGCAGTTGACGGGATTGCAGACTGGTGGGTTACACTGACAAATTGGGCAGCCATTGGCGTCAGTAGCCTGACCATATGGACAGTTTAAGTTCGGGCAGTTGACGGGATTGCAGACTGGTGGGTTACACTGACAAATTGGGCAGCCACTGGCGTCAGCAGCCTGACCGTATGGACAGTTTAAGTTCGGACAGTAAACGGGATTGCAGACTGGTGGGTTACACTGACAAATTGGGCAGCCATTGACGTCAGTAGCCAGACCATATGGACAGTTTAAATTCGGACAGTAGACGGAATTGCAGACTGGTGGTGGTTTGCATTTACATGTCCTTCTATAACAGCCAAAAGCATTCGTTTCAAACCCGTAAGGGCACTCCACATCTATACAGTAAAAATAATCCACGCAGTCTCCAAAAGGATTTTCACCTGTGAAATAAAATTGGGGTTTACAAAATATTATATTGTACAAATTTCACAAACAATTTGTAAACTTAAACTACATTCATTATCTTTATTTTTTTACTGGCCTTAGCTGAAACTTTATTTTTGTAGAGAAAGAGGAAAGATTGGGTAGAACAACACGCTTGTAAGAGATAGAGAGGAAAAGCTGGAGAAAAGCTGATGAGAGGAACAAGTGATGTATACAGGGAGAGAAACAAGTGGTGCATAAAGGGAGAAGAGCCAGGGGTGTAGCTACGGTTAGTGCCGCCCGATGAGGGCCAATCATTGCGCAACCCCCCCCCACCTCCCAAAAAAAAAAAATCCCCTCCACGAAAAAAATAAATAATTTGCAGTTTAGTGAAGTATACAGGGAGAGAAACAAGTGGTGCATAAAGGGAGAAGAGCCAGGGGTTTAGCTACGGTTAGTCCCCCCCGAAGAGGGCCAATCATTGCCCAACCCCCCCCCACCTCCCAAAAAAAAAAAAATCCCCTCCACGAAAAAAATAAATAATTTGCAGTTGTCCGAAAAGGCCGCCCCAGGATCGCACAAAGACAATTGTTCATCACTCAACGGCACAGTGAGGCAGGGGTGGGGGCGGCTTGTAACAAGAATATTTATTGCGGTAATAATATATTAAAAGATTCTTAACGCAAATGTTGAAAATATAACTTTTAAGCTAATAGCGGGGATGTCTTCTCTTTTAACACGACTACACATTTAGTAGGCAAACTTATTTATCGTTAAGGCAGAGACAGATTCATATATATATGGAAAATTAAATACCGTGCCGGAAAATTATTTGTATGCTCAGTTCTACTCACCTGCCCATGCAACGTTGATAACCAGACAGCTGGACACCATCAACACAAAAACTGACCTGGACACCATCAACACAAGGACTGATCTGGACATCTTCCAGGTAAATCGGCGGGGCAGAGAAAGTGTTTGTCGGTCCCCGTGTGTAGCAGCCTTTTTATAACAGCGGTGTGTCGATGTACATGTGATTTATTCATGCAAGGACTTCAGTAAAATATGTGACCCCATAAATTATAACTGCATTAAGCGCGATTTCCTGATGGAGGAACACATTATTTGACGTCTAGTGAGGTCACAATAACGTACTGGGTTCGCTTCCTGATTGGAAACAAATGGCAAAATGAAAAACATCAGTTTCAAGGCACTGAACGATTGGATCAAACACGGGGACACAGATGTGTATCAACGGCGAGAGTTTTTTCTGTTAATCTCTGCATCCTGAGGGGGACGGGCATCACGTATTCGAGACTTAATGCCCCCCTCAAGGCCAAACTTCAGAAGAATGCTCCGAAACGTATGCCTGCTCCAACCAACGACATTACAACACCTTTACTTATGCAAACACTAAAAAAATCGACAAATAATTCATCCATTTATAAATCTGGACCATGCGTCTGCTCGTATTAACATTTATAAATCTAGACCAGGCGTCTGCTCATATTTACATTTATAAATCTGGGCCATTAGAATATTAAGATAGTTCTATGGCGTAAATATAATGTGCAGTTGTGAGCCTTGAAGATAGGGTGGGGGTGGGTGGGGCACTAATTGGGATTCTTGAAAAGTGCTTTACTTGTTTACACTTTTTGTCGAATTTTTGACCCCCCCCCCCCCCCCCCCCCCCCCCAAAAAAATCCTTTTGCTGGATACAACATTTTATCAAGGATTTCTACGAAAAACTCTGTTTTTAGGGTTGGTTCAGTTATTTTTTTTAAAATTTATTCGGTGAGAGCAATTTTTTAAGGTTGTTTAGCTTTCGTTTCATTGGTCAATCAATATGAAAACATGGATTGGATCGCTATTCAATGAATTGAAAGTAAAGATAGTATTCAAATGTAGAGCATACTTTTAAAAAAAATGTTTTTTTATTAATTCTGTTTTAATTAACAAATTATTAAATTAATGGATTTGAGCTTAGAAAACAAAACAATGTTGTTTCAAGGTGCTCCTCGCAAGTAGAAAAAGAGGGAGGTGTATGAGGGCGGGCAAGCTACTCTCTATTTAAAAAAAAAATAATAATAATAATTCGGCGTAATCCACAGATTGCTCAGATCAGTATGAAAGCTTTGTTTTCAGTGATATGTAACCCCATGGAAAGCTTTGTTTTCAGTGATATGTAACCCCATGGAAAGCTTTGTTTTCAGTGATATGTAACCCCATGGAAAGCTTTGTTTTCAGTGATATGTAACCCCATGGAAAGCTTTGTTTTCAGTGATATGTAACCCCATGGAAAGCTTTGTTTTCAGTGATATGTAACCCCATGGAAAGCTTTGTTTTCAGTGATATGTAACCCCATGGAAAGCTTTGTTTTCAGTGATATGTAACCCCATGGAAAGCTTTGTTTTCAGTGATATGTAACCCCATGGAAAGCTTTGTTTTCAGTGATATGTAACCCCATGGAAAGCTTTGTTTTCAGTGATATGTAACCCCATGGAAAGCTTTGTTTTCAGTGATATGTAACCCCATGGAAAGCTTTGTTTTCAGTGATATGTAACCCCATGGAAAGCTTTGTTTTCAGTGATATGTAACCCCATGGAAAGCTTTGTTTTCAGTGATATGTAACCCCATGGAAAGCTTTGTTTTCAGTGATATGTAACCCCATGGAAAGCTTTGTTTTCAGTGATATGTAACCCCATGGAAAGCTTTGTTTTCAGTGATATGTAACCCCATGGAAAGCTTTGTTTTCAGTGATATGTAACCCCATGGAAAGCTTTGTTTTCAGTGATATGTAACCCCATGGAAAGCTTTGTTTTCAGTGATATGTAACCCCATGGAAAGCTTTGTTTTCAGTGATATGTAACCCCATGGAAAGCTTTGTTTTCAGTGATATGTAACCCCATGGAAAGCTTTGTTTTCAGTGATATGTAACCCCATGGAAAGCTTTGTTTTCAGTGATATGTAACCCCATGGAAAGCTTTGTTTTCAGTGATATGTAACCCCATGGAAAGCTTTGTTTTCAGTGATATGTAACCCCATGGAAAGCTTTGTTTTCAGTGATATGTAACCCCATGGAAAGCTTTGTTTTCAGTGATATGTAACCCCATGGAAAGCTTTGTTTTCAGTGATATGTAACCCCATGGAAAGCTTTGTTTTCAGTGATATGTAACCCCATGGAAAGCTTTGTTTTCAGTGATATGTAACCCCATGGAAAGCTTTGTTTTCAGTGATATGTAACCCCATGGAAAGCTTTGTTTTCAGTGATATGTAACCCCATGGAAAGCTTTGTTTTCAGTGATATGTAACCCCATGGAANCCCCCCCCCCCCCGCATAACATGGATTAAAGCACCACCCAGGGCTGCAATTTTGAAAGTGGAAATTATAGGCTTGTTGTAAATTATCATGCCTGTAGCGTAAAGTTACATTTCTGATGGTCTCACTCTCCAGGTACCTTGTCGCCAGCAGTGTGTGACCCAAGGGTAATCTCTGTTGGTTAGATACCCCTTGTTTGTGTGGCAATTTTCGTTCGGTTTTATTTCAAGTCTATATTTTTTTTACATGTGCGAAGAATGGAAATAACAATTAACAATGGTGATCCAGCGAATGAATGTATGATAATAAGGTATACGGGGGCATCGGTTGGTAGTTAATGACTACATTTAGTGGCTTAGGAAAGAGACGGGTGGGCAGTCCGCGCCTGGTGACACTTATTTGTCTATATAAGGGATGGCGGGCTTTTCGGTGCAAAAGACGCAGAGCAAAATTTTATTTGACTATCATTTACCCCTAATTATTATGAGCGGTGGGAACTCTAATTGGCTAGGTTCTATACAGTCGATTGAATCTTTTATTCGAAATAGAGACCGATCGAATTTCGGCTTTGGATTCGGTTTCGGCGCCGAAAGTGGCCATTTGATCACTTTTGGCCTAATTTCAGATTTGGCCGAAAACAAAAACAAAAATTTCGGTTTAATTTCGACTTCGGCCGGAACTGAAAAAGTTGCGGCCGAAAGTGATTGGGGTTTTCGGTCATATACCCGAGGTAAGACTGTCTGTCTGTCTCTAAGCTGGCAATCCGAATAATTTGATTAATACTCTGCGAAAACTTCTCAAAGCTGCATGATGACCTACTTGTTCTTTATTTCCAAACAATTTAATTTTAATTAGGCCAAGGCAAATGTCAACAGTTTTGTGTGTGTGGGGTTCTGGGAATGTCGAATTTCCAGAGTTATTTTTTTTTTAATTTTTTCAAAATAAAATTTGGAACCCCAAGTTTATTCAATTCCTTGTGATATTCATTTTTGATTTATCATTATCATGCTCACCAATGTTGTTATATACAAAGGTGAATAATATTGTATACTCCTAGGGAATGGTAATATTTCTCCTATTTTTTATTTTTAAGGAAACCTAGGCTTTTTCAATTCATTCATTTCTTAAAATTCGTCACTATCAAGCACATAATCATTGTTATTGAAGAAATAACAAGTGTGTGCATGTATTACTGGCGTGTATCATGAGTATGTAGTAGGCTACCGCAGACCTGTTTACCTTTATGATTTAGGCGACCAATTTAGAAGTCTTGTGATTCTCCGTCCAGAACTATCAGAAGAACTATTTTAAGAGACCCGGTTAAAAAATAACCCCCCCCCACCAAGGGAGGGGGGGGGGAGTTGGTCACCGAACGAAATTATTACGTCACCAGCACGGTAAGACTAATGTGTTGGCACTAGACCAAATATTAGTACAGGCATATCTTGCCAGCTATTTATGAAAACACAAAGCATTAGTATGACGAAAATCGCGAAAAATTGTGGTGATATTTCTATAGCCTTAATAACTGATATTTACATGACAATTGACTCGATTAGAGCCACAATAATTATTATAGGTATATGTTCTATATTGTATTAGAAAAGGGCACTCAAGGGTCTATTTTGTATGAGTTTTGCCCTCTCCCCCGTCAAAGTTTTCTTTTATCACACTACTTACAAAATTTTTTAAAGAAATTTTAAATACTTTTAAATTAAAATAGTAAGAGCCAAAGTATTCATTAAGGCATGATTGCTTTAGATTGGGCAACGCTAAAAAATAGAATGTAAAAATAGATACTTTCCCCCATCATTTTTTTTTATATATGTACAATGTATGGGTGGATGAATTTCAAAATACCTAAATATTTCAGCTTCGGTTTCGGCCGATACCAAAAATTTAAATTTAGGTTTAATTCCGGCTTCGGTCGAAACTGAAATATTAACTTTCGGTTTAATTTCATATTCGGCAGAAAGTCATTTTTAAATTTCGGCCTACTTTCGGTTTCGGCCCAAATCAGAAAATTACTTCTGGTCGGTCTCTAATTCGAACCCAGTTACATTGAAATAATATTTCAAGAAAAGGTCAGAATGTGGTCAGAGTTTGGTCACAGAGTGGCCAGAGTGTGGTCACAGTGTAGCCAGAGTGTGGTCAGAGTGTGATCAGAATGTAGTCAATGTGTAGTAGTAAAAAAGACTAGTCCGATCACTGTAACTAATATTTACATTTTAAAAGGAATATTCAATTTAAAAGAACGTAAAAATTTAACACAAACCCCTCCATATGTTTCTGAAAACTGCAAAACACCCCTGACATTTGTCAGACGACCCCGAGCGGATCATGTAACGCAGGCTAAAGAACCACTGTCCTAACATAGTAAAAACGAATACAGACATCAACAACATCTTGTTCCTGGAGTCATAAAGCAGAGATCAACAATATATTTTACCTGGAGTCATAAAGCAGAGATGAACAACGTATTGTAGCTGGAGTCATGAAGACGAGATCAACAATGTCTTGTACCTGGAGTCATGAAGCCGAGATCAACAATGTGTTGTATCTGGAGTCATAAAGCACAGTTCAACACCGTATTGTACCTAGAGTCATGAAGACGAGATCAACAATGTCTTGTACCTAGGACCATAAAGCCGAGATCAACAA